TTGCCCAGCTGTGCCTCGACCCCTCTCTCAACCTCTCCCACCCGGCAACAGCAGTAAGGAGAAGCCTGTGAACACCCGGGACCAGCTGCTAGCCCAGGCGGAGCTGGCTCTGCTCTCCATAGTCTTTGTGGCTGTGGCCCTGAGTAATAGTTTGGTTCTGGGGGCCCTAGTGCGGCGGGGCCGGCGGGGCCGCTGGGCACCTATGCACATCTTCATTGGCCACTTGTGCCTGGCTGACCTGGTTGTGGCTCTGTTCCAAGTGCTGCCCCAGCTCGCCTGGGAGGCCACTGACCGCTTCCAAGGGCCTGATGCCCTGTGCCGGGCTGTCAAGTACTTGCAAATGGTGGGCATGTATGCCTCCTCCTACATGATCCTGGCCATGACGTTGGACCGCCACCGTGCCATTTGCCGCCCCATGCTGGCATACCGCCATGGAGGTGGAGCTCACTGGAACCGGCCAGTGCTGGTGGCTTGGGCCTTCTCGCTCCTTTTCAGCCTGCCCCAGCTCTTCATCTTTGCCCAGCGTGATGTGGGAGATGGCAGCGGGGTCTTTGACTGCTGGGCCCTCTTTGCCGAACCCTGGGGCCTCCGTGCCTACGTCACCTGGATTGCTTTAATGGTGTTTGTAGCACCTGCCCTGGGCATCGCTGCCTGTCAGGTGCTCATCTTCCGGGAGATTCATGCCAGCCTTGTGCCAGGCCCAGCAGAGAGAGCTAGGGGGCACCAAGGAGGGCGCCGGACAGGCAGTTCCGATGAGGGAGCCCCTGTGTCTGCAGCCATGGCCAAGACTGTGAGGATGACACTGGTGATTGTAATCGTGTACGTGCTGTGCTGGGCGCCCTTCTTCCTTGTGCATCTGTGGGCAGCGTGGGACCCAGAGGCACCCCTGGAAGGTGGGTGTGGCAGTGGCTAGGGCTATGGGCAGAGCTTGGGCTTGGCTGCATATACACCTCTACCTGCCTTCCCCCCATACACATCCAGCTATGGGCTCAGGAGCCCCTAGTAGGCACATGGGGTCGCACCCCTGCCTGGGTACCCTCAGCCCAAACCCTTCTCCTCCACCTATACAGGGCCCCCCTTCGTGCTGCTAATGCTGCTGGGCAGCCTCAACAGCTGTACCAACCCCTGGATCTATGCCTCCTTCAGCAGCAGTGTCTCCTCAGAGCTGCGCAGCCTGCTCTGCTGTGCTTGGAGGCCCGCCCCACCCAGCCTGGGGCCCCAAGAGGAGTCCTGTGCCACTGCCAGCTCCTTCCTGGCCAAGGACACTTCCTCCTGAGAAGCCAGGGGGCGCCTTCTTTCCAGAGGCTCCACAAAGCTCAGCTGCCTGCAGGGAAGATGAAGGTCTCAGGGAGCCCAGGAGGAAGAAAAGGGGATGAGGCCAGGGGCCTTCCTTTCTTCACTTCTCTAGTTCCCCTCTGCCCTTCTCACTCCCTCCCTAATAAAAGTGTCAGCTCATTTTCCACCCAGTGAGTCTCCTCAGATCAGGCTAACAGTAGGTGTGAAGGTGGCGTGGAAAGACGTCCTCAGACTCCCCCACACCCACAGGCACATGTATGACTCTGGAAGCCATGATGCAGGTGACGGAGTCTTCAAATATACAAGGGCCCAAACCACACAGCCCCGTGCCAAGCCCCCTGATCCCCAAGCAGAAGCTGTTTCTGCTACCCAGCCTACTGCCTTTGCTGAGCACCCTGGCATCTGGCCTCAACCAGTGAGGGTGCCAGGAGGTTATCCCTGTACCTACCTGCTCAGTCCCCCAAGACAAGAGAACTGCTCACGTGGGGGAGTCAATGAACAAGTCTTTATGAATGGCTGCCGATGCTTGCCAACCCCCACCAGTCTCACACTCTCAGCTGAGGCAGAGAAGGGCCTGGGCACTGGTGGGGGTACTCATCTGAGCAAGGGCCCCCACCACCCACCAGCCACTCATAAGCCCTCACAGAAAAGCTGGGAAGGGGCCTGCCCGCAGCCTCCTTTGGCTGCCTCCCAAAGGGGCCTAAGCCAGGGCTGGGGCAGGCAGGGGCATGTTTGGGCAGCTATGTCCTTCTCTCTGCAAAGGGTCAAGAGCAGGTGCTCCACACTTGCTGGACAGGGCCAGGGAGAAGCAAAGGGGCTGGGGACGGTAGAGGGTCTTGCCGATGACCTCTAGAGTGAGGGGGGCCTGCTGAGGAGCCAGCAGCACTTCAGTGTGGCTTGAAGGGTGAGTCCAGGCCTGGGAGTTGGGATGCTGAGGGTGAGGCAGGAGCCCCAGGGCTGCGGGAGAAGCCTTTGTTCTTGCCGAAGCGGTTGCAGCCTAGAGGCTTTGGGCTGCGGGGGCCAGGGCTGGGAGAGCTGGTGGATGCTGGCCCGAGGCCCTGGCGGATAGCAGTCTTTCCCAAGAGCTCCTTAAACACTGAGTCCATGGTCTGCGCCACAGCCTGGCAGAGAGGTGAGGGGGGAGGCATCTGGTAGGTGTCCCCCATGCCCAGCCATTCCCCCACCCCAGGTCAGTGTGTTGACAACTAAGCCAGGAGTGAGGCCTTCCTACCCTCTGCTGCCCAAGCCTCCCCCAGAATTCCCCTCTCTAAAACTAATGTCCTCTGCCACCAACCTGTTACCAGGCCCTTCCTCTCAGTGGGCCTGCAGCTGCTGTCCCTCCTCCCTTGCCCAGTTTCCCTCCTGCCACTTTTGGTGTGGCTATCACAACTTCCTTTAAGGACAGCAATCTTCAACCCAGCCTTGAAGTGGGGAAACCTCTGGCTGGGCCCCGACTGCCCCTCTCCTTCTCATGCCCTCTCTCTCCCTGGCTGAGATCTCCCCATGACCTTGGGAGCCACCAGCGTATGGGGCCTCCCTGGTCAGTGTTCCCCTGCACCTCACCTGGCCCCACCTGCTGTCCACCTACCCTGGGGTTTCCCAGCTGTGCTGCCCCATTCCTACTGTCTGGTGGCCCAGCTCACCCCCCTGTCCTTAGGCTCCCAGGCCTGGCCTCTGGGCCTCACCTGGGACACCACGTGCTCTTAAGGTCTCTCCTTGGGCTCAGCCTGTCTTCAGGGCCTCTAACCCAGAAGCAGTGAGCACCCACCAGGTGGCCGAGATGGGCCCATCAGACAGAGCAGGGAGCCACGTTTCCCCAGGCTGCACCCCTTGCCGGGACCATGCACAGTACCCACTCTCTCCCCCTGAGAGAATCACTGTTCTGCCCAGCTCCGCAGCCAGCCTCCCCCACCCTCCAACCTCTTTTCCATCTGTCCCTTTCATCTTCCGTGGCCCACCAAGCATGTTGCCACCTGTCACCTAGCCTGGCTCTAGATTCCAGCCCTGAAGCCTGCCCAGTAGCCCCTCGGCCATACCACTTGCCACCTCCCACTCAAAAACCAACCATGAAGCCCAAACGCACTCTGGGGACATCCTTCCCCTTGCACTTACACCCTTGCTGGCCTGCCCCTAACTGGGTTGGGCTCAGTCAGCCTGTCTGAGGCCAGGAAGGGCAGACTCAAACCTCAGGAGGGAAGAATTTGGTTTATAAGGGGAGGCAGAGACACCCCTCCCCCTAGGAGAAATATCCCCCACCTGTCACCAGCCAGTCCCCGCTCTCACCTTATCCACCTCCACATGTCGCTCTGGGGAGGTTGGGACCAAGCAGTGCCGTCTGTGCCCAGAAGGGCCCCCGGGTGGGGTGCATGGCTCTGGCCTGTAGTGCACAGACAGTGAGTCTCACAGGGGCCCTGGGAAGTCTGCACTAATGGGGCAGTGGTTCCTCCCACCTCAGGGTGTGGCCAAAGGAAAAAAGACAGTGAAGCTGGCCCAGAGAGTCCATTCTGTCCTCCTTTGGCATCCCTCACCCAGACAACTCTTCCCCAACTGGGCCCCTCTCCATGTGCCCACCCCCCTCCAGCCTGGCCCCCAGAGCAGTGTTCAGGTGGGGGTAGGCAAGAGAGGCCACCAGAAGGGTTCTTCCCGAGGGGCCGAATTCCCCTTGCTCACCTTTGGAAAAACTCCATAGCCAGGAGGCCCTCTGGACTGCTCAGCAGCTCTCCTGCAGCCTGCAGCCCCTGGCCCACCTCATGCTTCTCTGCTCTGGGGTCAGAAAGACGGCCTGTTTAGGGTGCTGGGGGCCAGTGGGTTTTGTGCCTCAGTGCCAGGCAGAAGTGGTCAGAAGGGCACACAGAAAGCCTATAGACCCTGGGGCTTGGGGTAGGGGAAGGGCCAGGGCCTGGCTTGAAGGGAAGCTGTGTAGAGCTTCCCGGCAGCATGGGGCACTCACCCCCCAGGCAGCGTGATATACTTGTGGGGAATGAGTCCCCGGGTGCCACCACACTCGCCCCTCCACCAGTCGCCTGAGGCCCGCTCGTGCAGCCGCAGCACATCCCCACGCTGGAAGGTCAGCTCCTGGGCCGTGCGGCCCGTGTAGGCAAAGCAGGCCACGGCTTCCACGACCCCTTCCAGGACTGGGAATAAGAAGGGGTGTGAGTTGGGGGAGACACCCAGGGCAGGGACAGAGTAGGGTCCTTCTTCCAGACACCCTTACCATCCTCCTGGGCCGGGGTCCCAGCTTCCAGCTCCGGCTCGTTCTCACCTGCCAGGCTCTCCACCTGGGTGTCCCTGAGTGTCAGAGCAGAGTGAGGGGAATAAGCTGTTGAGAGGGTTCCCCTC